TGAATTAGATCACATCCAGTGAAAGGACCTCGTGAATTAGATCACATCCAGTGAAAGGACCTCGTGAATTAGATCACATCCAGTGAAAGGACCTCGTGAATTAGATCACATCCAAGAGACAAAAAGACATGAATTTACAAGGAATTCACATCCAGTATCGTACGGAGGGACGGATGGACGGAAGTAACTTTTTCAGGCCATAAGGAAAAATCAATTTGATGGGTTAACAATTTTCCGTAAGTATGGTGCTCCGCTTTAACATTTATTTTAACGAGGATGAAATTAATTTAGTGCACAGAGTATACGAGACCTACGCTGGGGCGTCGTATGGACTTCGGACCTGACGGCGATTAAGTCCCTCTGCCCTTGGGTGTACGGATCTAGCCGAAGCATCAGGGGAGAGACCAGGCGGCCCCCAGACCATATCGACTAATCCCTTGCACAACCTGCCACGCACTGGCACGTTGATTTGGAGCGGAGAATAATCTAGTCTTTCTGGTTCTTTGTTTTCATGGCTATTATTGTGCTAATTTCGTTAACTGGTGGCCCTGTGGAAAAAAACTTGGGCTCTCAAGACACTAAGTCAAGTACGCTTGAGTGTGATTAGTACTTGGATGGGTGGCCTGAAATCATAGCTACCGAGTCCGTTATTGAAATAATTTTCAATTAAGATACCCGAATAGATATAATCGACCTTATAAATGTCTTTTTTGCTTATAATCAAACTCTAGCCATGTACCTTAAAAGATACAAAAAATAAAATAGAATAATATATAAATATATATATTTTAAAAAATAATGAATAAAGAATCCTTGGTACGAGCTACATTATTTGGGTCCCTTTCATGGGCTCCCTGTGTCAACCCAGTCCACTTTAATTTATTCAACATGGATCAACAAGCAGCAGCTCATTCTCTTTCAAACAAAAAACCTAACCAGACACTAAATATTAACCCATCAATAAACACAGAGATGGACGAAAAAACCCCATTACTATCTGTACATGGTCCACAACACAACAACAGCCAAGAACCAAGGTATTTATTCTCGTATTACGACGAACGGACAAAATGGTGGATATTTTTTCACCCAAGACTTTATTTAATAGAACATCAATATATACATGACACTTGATAACAATCATCACGAGATTTGGATTGACTTAACGTCACAGATCTTCTCCCTGTTCTGTAATTTCTATTGATCTTCTTAATTCTATAACCCTTTCAAATTTTTCACGCCAGATAAAAAGATAATAATCTGAAATTGAGGTTACTTTTGGTTATTTTGAAAATTTTAGCTAAAACTTCTTGCTTAATAATTATTTATTAACCACATAATTTTTTATAAGTAACTCTAAGATATTATAAGCTTATATCCTTTAGCTACTTCRCGTATTGCATTATAGTTCCTTGAAGCTGCGTAATAGTGCACTAGTCATAACTTTAAACTCTATATTGTAACTTAAAGCAGAGTTTTTTATTTCGAAACAGCAAACGACAAACAGCACAGCAAGCTAAACCAAGCATAAAATGAATTATTTTTTTCCGGTCCGGTATCCTAAAAAATCGTGCGTTCTGATTGGCTGTTTGAGCGGGCGGTATTTTGTAAGTATCTGCCCGCGCGCGCGGTCCGGTATCCTTTGCCGCTAAACGACAACACAAAACGATTACCAAAACAAGTAAAAAAAATACGGGAAAAAAATAAATAAGTTATTTACCGTCCTATAGTCGGTCCGGATAGGAAAAAACTGTGCCCTCGGTCTTGAACACGGACCTCGGCCTAACGGCCTCGGTCCGTATATTCAAGACCTCGGGCACAGTTTTTCCCTATCCGGACCTCCTGGCCGGTAAATAACATATATATCTTAACAATTCTCTAGAGTTTTGAGTCACTTAAGTTTTTCTTTTATCCTAATGTATCCTTTGGGAAGGACAATAAAATACATGCTAATAGAATATTCAACTCTGTCCATTTAAAAAATAAATAGAGGATATTACATGGGCGCGCGGAGATACGAAATTTATCTTCGAGTGTTGAAAAGATCTCTCACAAGTGAGCGCAGCGAACGAGTGAGAGATTTTCAACACGAGAAGATAAATTGCGTATCTCCAAGCGCCCATGTAATATTCTGTTTATTATATAATTATCAATGAAGTRTGTTTTGGCTTTTTCAGGCAATTCTTTCCGTGTATTTTTGAATAGCCATCGCAATGGTGTTATTTTCACACGTGAAAATAACATGTTATTTTCACGTGTGAAGATATCAATTTTTCGAAATAGAGAAAAATAGATATTTCATTGGTAATTATATAATAAAGATAAATATTTTTATAAATGTCATGAGAAGTTCCCTTGCTTCAACATTATCACTGCATTGCTGTGGGGAATCAGTATTACACTTGCATATATTACACAAACTGAAATGATAAGACCTTCCAGTAAATTCAATGTTCTATACAAGGTTTAGTTCATGGTTCGAGTTTTATGCCGAGGAAAGGATTCCAAGAACCTGGGGTAAAAAAAACTTATTGCTAGAGAGTAAAAGTGTTTGCATTTGTAGAAAAATTGTGTTAAAATTATTTAAAAAAGAGCTCTCTGGAATGAAACAGTACATGGATTGACACTGACTTTTTATTTTCATTTATGTGTTGTGTTGAATCCAAGGTTTTCACTATTCTTGTGGTGTCAATCACTTGACTCGAAACCCCTCCAGATATGAATAAATGATAATGAAACAGCCACTATGTTGGTTGATCTACAACAAGAGAAGCTAAATAAATGAGAAATGCTTTGTTATCATCAACCAACATTGCCACTATGACCCCTTGCAGTGCTTTGGAATGCAGCTCAGTCTGGGGGATAAGACAATAGGTTCAATAAGCCAAATAAAAAATTGTAATTCAAAAATCATTTCCAGTGTGCATGCAATTTTTCCCCAAATTTTTCACCTTCTTTCGTTTTAGTTCTAACAAAAAAAGGATTAAACGAAAGAAGGCGAGAAATTCGGGATAAAATTGCATGCACACTGGAAACAATTCTTAAACTATGATTTGGCTTATTCTCAGGAGATTGGAATTCTTTTGTTTTGTCCCCCAGATGGAGCTGCTTTGACTTCACATGCAGGGGGTCTATGACATAACATGCACACCAATGAATTAACCACTAGGCTAATTAATAGCTCAGAATTAGACTGACCAATCATTATTGACGTAAAATATAAATATATTATGTTCCCTTCCATTTTAGCAATAAGAAAGAATCAAGTACCTCGAGTCAACAAAGTATAAATTCCTCTAGATCATTAGGACGCCAACCTTTCACTCACAATTCCATGCAAAACTTGCATGGGAGGCCTGAAGATGTTCACCGATCAGCGACATTTCATCGTTATAAATATATATCAAAATTGTCTGGACACAGTAATCTTATGGTTAGTAGGGATAATATTTGCTATATGATTATATATCAAGATTGTCTGGACACAGTAATCTTATGGTTAGAAGGGATAATATTTGCTATATAATTATATATCAAGATTGTCTGGACCACAGTAATCTTATGGTTACATGTAGTAGGGATAATATTAGTCTCCCTCGCATCTGTTTTTAGTGTCGGTCGTCAYGCAATGCTCCCTCCCCGTGAGTGACTACCCACATAAAAAACGGATGCGAGGGAGACTAGGATAATATTTGCTATATAAATTTATATCAAGATTATCTGGACACAGTAATCTTATGGTTAGTAGGGATAATATTTGCTAAGGTTAGATGCTGGTATAATAGTCTTTTGTTTTATTCTGTAATTGATTGTGAAGTTTTGGATAATAACCCTTAAAGGGCATTAGAATCTCCCAGTGGGGGGGGGGGGGGGGGGGGGGGGGGGGGGGGGGGGGGAGGAAAGGGTCTGAGAAGGGTATATTGTGTGGTACCAGAAAATAACCATACTTTCCCCATGGAGGGGGATTGGAATTTGCAAGCGGTAGGGAGGGTCTGAGGAGGGTATATCATGTAGTTCCAGAAAATATCCATACATGTACCTCCCTGTTAGAAGGGGATTGGAATTTCCAAGGGGTGGGGTGGGGTCTGAGGAGGGTATATTGTGTGGTTCCAGAAAACGTCCATAGGGGAATTGATATGGTTGTATCACATATTTCAAATGTTTTATATAATTTCTCTCTAATTTCTCAGATTATACCCGACCATATGCTGCCGATTGAGCTTTTCTTATTAATTCCTGGTAAACGAGAGTCTAAACAGAGTAGTCTCATAACAATGTGAGTTCTTAGGATCCTGTAAATAGTCTGGACAACAAGTTCTTATTTGCAGTCAGTGCATTTTCAGTTGAATACTGATGTTTCTAATTTCTTTATTTTCTGGATAGATTTTCAATATGGAACACAATGATGGGAACATCAATATTAAGCATGCCATGGGCTCTCAGCCAGGTAGGAAAATAATAGTATTATAAATAAACATGAGATAACAATAGAAGCTATGGAGGGAGGGAGGAAGGAAGGAAGGAAGGAAAGAAAGAAAGAAAGGACGAAGGAAGGAAAGAAACGAGGAAAGAAGGAAGGAAAGAAAGAAAGAAAGAAAGAGAAAAAGAAAATTCTGGAAAGAAAGAAGAGGAAGTAAATAAATGAAATATAATAAGGAAGGGAAGGAAAAACAGCAAGTGAATGAATAAAAAGAAAACAATGAAGGAAAGTATGGAAGGAAGGAAGGAAAGAAAGAGGGGAATTTGAAAGGGGAATAAATGAATAAGAAAAAAAGGAGGAAAGAAAAGGAAGAAAGACAATTTTAAAGTAAAAAAAAACAAAGAAAAAATATAGAAGAATAAGATGTTTAACAAACAATTTGAAATTTAAAATATCTGACATTTTGTGGAAGCTTGGTTGATTTGTTTTGATGTATGATGCATGCCAAAAACTATAGAAATAAAATAAAGTATTATTATATTTTAAAAATTATAGATAACTCATGAAAAACTGAATATTGACATGCAATTAGGGCTTAGCCCTGGGACTCTATCCCTTCTATTGCGGCAAACGGATTTAGATAAAATATAAATAAATAAAAGAATTATTCTTTTCAGGCAGGATTTGGTCTTGGGGTTGGTATAATGTTGGTGGTCGCAGCACTCTGTCTCTACACCTCATATCTGATCCTCAAAGCATCCGAACCATATGGTAAGAATACCAAGAGCATATGATCCCTGTA